AGACAGTGGCGGGTCATGACGTGTCGCTCAGCTGCTCTTCCGCGTTATACCTTATGTGAGCCACGCTATCTCCCCATCTCTCTCAGCGTGTAACGGGTTTTCATGCCTAGTTTCAATGCATAATTTGAATATATTGATACATGGGCAGACACACTGAAACACACACACACACACATTTATACATATTTATATACACACACTCTCTGATTAGGTACCCTGTGTAAGTATAAGTGTTTAAGCGGGCTGCCAGATTTCCATTTCCTAAAGCTATTACGGAACTTGACTAGTTCGAGATGGACGACGCAACATTCATGCCGCTCACTCTCACCACTTTCACTAGTATGGACTAAGCACACTCACACACATACAGACTCACGAACGCACACACATACAGATGCAAAGCGTAACCGCATATGGCGTATTCTCTATTAGCTACTTGTTCCTGGATTCTTTGGGCATTTTTCTTAAGCAGCTATCCAACTATGGATCTAGTACGCCCTGGAGCCCACCATGGAGCACTTGCTGCCAGATACTGTGGCTGCGATTAAGCTTCGAACTTTGCCGCGTTTGGATGACGTTGGCAGTTTTCTATTGCTTTTGCTTTAAGTTGCATTGGGATTTTTCCAATTAGGTGTCGATTAGACCAATTGCCAGTGCTCTTCAAACAGTTGCAAGTGGTGCAATTAGCTACTTTCACGGCTTATGATCCTAAGAGAATTACCTGTTCGGCCACATCTTCCGTTTTTGCAATATATTCGTTGGGTATGCTCATGTTGGCGGCTGGTATTGGTCCTGTTTGGGTTGTTTATGTGTTATTCCGGGCCGACGTTGAAACTTGCAGCATGCAAGTTTGGTTTAAAAACACTTAAAACGTTCACAGTCCACTCGGTACACGAAATTAAAATTAACAAAAACCAGAAAAATCAAAAAACACACAACACGGGCACACAAGGCTGGCAGAGAGAGCCAGGTGGAGAAATTGTTATCGATAATAATAACTTTGCGATTAACTGCGACTGGCGATTAACCTAAATGCTGTTATCGAGCAGTTTCAAGCAGCGTGCCAGGTTTTTTTTCGTTTTAGAAAAAAACCATACACAATAAATATTATATATAAAATAGGATAAGTTAACTATAGTTGAAATAAAATGGCAACCGTGGCCAAGCGACAAAAGATTGAAGACGAAAAGCCCAGCACATCGAAAGAGAGCCGCTCAAAAAAGAAGTCCAAAAAATATGCGACTACCGTCGAAATTTCCACCGACTGGGACGTGGATAACTACCGAACGGAATACGAGAGTGAAGAGCACTGGCAACTGCGTCGTGACTTTATGATGGCACACAAGGACCGCTTCGACGAGGAGCGCTTGGTGTGCCTGGCACAGACATTCATCAACATGGAATTTCTGGGTTGCAAATACCCTTCGGAAACAATGCTCCTGGTCGCCGAGTTGTCAAAAGAGATTGCCGAAGAGTTTCGCCAGAAGCGGGCGCTGCGGCTAAAACGCACATTTGTCAACGCATCGGACGCAGCCGAACAGCGGGCCAAAGGTAGACGGAACAATCCAAAATAATAATAAGATCATAGATGTACTATAAGTGACGGAAGAAAATGTTTTATATATTACTCGTAAATATATAAATATATATGTATATTTAGTATATATGTGATCGTGAAACCCACGAATCCTGATTACACGTATTCCAAATCAATTAGGCCGCTCCCAACAGCCATTGCAGAAGAAACAAGTCCAGCTCGAAAGCCAATCCACCAGCAGTGCCGAACGGATGTGTTTCGGCGGCGGGGCTCCACTCGATCTCTTCGAAGGTTTGCGCTTTGGGAATCTGATAATTTATTTAGCCGGCGGTCGCAGTTGCCTGCGCAATTCTTGTAACTTGGCCAAAATGAAGTACGACGAACGCTTGATTGAAACCCAGACGAATGAAACGTCCAAAACAGCAGAGATTGTAATCAATGATGAGGTTATAGCCACCGGACAAGGCGATAATCTAAAGGCAGCCAAAGTAGCTGCATACAAGCAGGCTTTGCTCCTGCTGCAGACGCACTGTTATAGCATAAAGGTAGGCAATAATGCCTAGAGGATTACCTGAGATGAGTTCATATGTATATACATCTTTTCTGTGTTCAGCTGAATGCAGCGCGAGCTACGATCAAGGTTGAGAAGGGCAAAAATGGCATTGATATCAATGTCACCAAGGAGTCGGCGGACAGTCTGACGGATAGCAAGCTGGATGCGAGCAACAAAGGCTATCGTATGATGCGCATGATGGGCTGGACAGGCGGTGGTCTGGGACGCCGCAAGCAAGGTCGCGAGGAGCCCGTGGGGTAGGTGTTTGGTCTTGATGTCATTACCTTTAACTAAATATGGAGCTCCCAATATTTTGCAGCTATCTGTTAAAGAACAATCGTATGGGCTTGGGCTCCAATGATCCGCATGCTAATCTGGCAGATTATCGCAAGCTCATAGAGAACTATGTCAATTCGGATGATATACGAGACATGCAGTTTGAGCCCAACTTCTCAAAAGAAGAACGCGCCACGTTTCATCAGTATGCAAACTTCTTTTAATCATAGTTCAAAATTATTCCTCATTATTTTGTATTTTATAGAATTGCTAGCAAGTTTGGACTGCGCTCGAGTAGCTACGGCACTGGAGAATCTCGTCGCTTGCTTATAACTAAGAAAATCAGCTATAATATCATACTCAATGAGGTGCTCACCAAAAGAAATCCCAAGTTCTGCGAACGTTATTTTGTGCAGGTGCCCATGCAGAAGGCCCACCTGTTTCCAGGTAATGTGGCTGCACTGGATTTGGAGAGCATAATGGAATAATGAATAGTGTATAATGTGTAGTTACGGTTACTTTTTATATAAGTATATATATGAAACATTTTCAGGAAAATTAATTTAAGTTTATAGTAAAGAAAAATTTTTTTACGTATTTGAAAAAAAAAAAATATTAAATTCAAATTCAGTTGCATTCATTTGTGTTTACGTTTCGTTGTGACTGACTAATTGCGTTTGCCTTCGAATGACAGTAAAAAAGAGCGTCGTGCAACAACAAGTGCATTGATCGAGACTCGCTTTTGTTTGAAACGCAAACGTTTGTTTTCTGAAATAATGAGCAGATGTCCGCGCTGCAACTGCGTAGCTTCTGGACAAAATCGCCTAGTCACCGACAGCTGTGGACACAACAAGTGTCGATTGTGTCTGCTGGCAGATGAAGTCGCTTGCTCGGAATGCCAGTTGACAAGGGAACTTGAGCCCGCAGCAGATGCTGTAGGTCAACCAGTTGAGAATGTGGATTATAAACATATAACGAGCACGACCCAGGGCTATCATTGCTCTGTGTGCAACAAGAGCTTTCGCAGTCGCACCCAACAGTATTATCATCGTAGCTGTGGCAATGAGATCCTCAAGAAGTTTCCCTGCACACAATGCTCACGCGTAATTTAAAACAAAAGCTGCAGCTTCAATTAAATATATGTGTAACAGTTAATATTTTCTAGCGCTTTGCCACACGTTCGCATCTGAAGTATCACCAGAAGAGCCACAACAGTCCCAGTTTCAGCTGTTCTAATTGCAGCAAAACCTTTAGGCAGGAGCTCTTGTTGCAGCGCCATATGCGTACCCACAACTCATCTGGCTTTCCCTGCCAGCAATGTTCACGGATCTTTCGCAGCCAGGGCGCCCTCACAGCTCACGCTGTTCTGCACAGCGGCAACAGCTTGCCATACAAATGTGTTGACTGCTCCAAACACTATCTAACTATGGCAAATTTAAGGCAGCATCGCGTGAAGCACGAGCCGAATAGCCGGCGGCACCAGTGTAATGTGTGCAACAAGTGCTTTCTGCGCTCCTCCACGCTCAGATTGCACCAGGCCCGACACACTCAGCGTCCGCGTCATGCCTGCTCCCAATGCAATAAAACCTACAACGACGTGGATGCACTGCAGCGGCACGTGAAGCAACACACAGCCAAACTGCGATACCGATGTATGGAATGTGACGTCACAGTCAGTCGGCGCGACAATATGAAGCGGCATATGCGCTCCATGCATCCGGGCATTGAATTCGATGCGGGCGTACAAGTCTTAGATGTCGAGCAGAGCACCACGACTTTGCCAGCTGCAGCAGAGCAGCCAACTGCACCGAGTCTGCGCTACAGCAGCGTCATCATGAGTGTGGGCAATGTGCAGCCGGTGGTAGTGCCCGAACTGGAGCCTGAGCAACCGTTGCCAGAGAAATCGCTGCCCGATAAAGTGCAAAAAGAAAATGTAAAACTATATCGCAAAATCATATTGGACTTGGATAACGAGGAGTACTCCAATGAGCTGAGTACCACTGGCCTGGACATGGACGAGTCGACACCGACAACCGCTGAGCAACAAGCGACGCAGCTCGCACCGCCGCAACATCCACCTTTACCTGACCAGAGCAACTCCTGCTTTAGGCATTGGCGCAAAAACTTCAAATACTTCTATGAAAATGAACATACCAATTAAAAATTATAGTATTAGCTATTGTTAAAATATCCTTAAAGAGTCCGAGGCAATGTATTGCTCAAGAATTTTAATGAGATGTGAACTGATCAATTGGCATAAGGCATTATAACGAGATGGGGTCAATGTAGTTATTTATACATATAGCTGAATGAAATGCTGGCCTGATGCCATATAATACACTTGCTAAGGGTATGTCAGGTAACGGTAACGGTGTGTGTATATGCTTATCGACAAGTTTTTACAGCTATGCTCAGTGAATCAAATGACAAAGTTAGCTTCATTACGCTTAGCTCAATCTTTTAAAAACTCTCGAAATCGGGCCGTGGTTCCATTTACAGACATATGTATATTATATTGTTAGAGTTAAGTATGTGTATATATTGTACTCTAGTGATAAATGTAAAACTTATTCATCAGTGTTTGATTGAAACAATATAAAAGCTAGTCCCAACGGAAGGCATACATAGGATCTTTTCAATAATAATTGACTATAATATATAATTATTAATAGTATATAGAGTATTAATGAGTCGTGATATCTCAAATGCTGCTGCTTACTTGGCCTGCGTCAATGCCAAGGGTCTGGGCACTGTTCGATGAACAAGCAATAGAAATACATAATTATATTATCCGAGCGCAGTGCGCGACATGTGGAGCTGGACATTCACCATGTGTTGAGCATTGGCTGTGGCAGTGGATTGCTCGAGTGGCTGCTCGGCGCGGTGGCTGACCAAGAGCTGCGAGTATATGGCCTGGAAAGGGATCCGAACTGGTGGCGCAGCAAATACGCCGTACGCAGTTTTATTCCACTCAACTACATTGAGCAGGCGGACTCCAAATTGACTCCCAGTTTCTTCAGCCGCTGCTGCTCGGGCGTTGCGCCCTGTGCGCTGCTCTTTTGCTACTTTAACAATCGCAGCGCCTTCCTGGATTATCTAAGCGCATTTGAAGGGAAGTGGCTGATATTAATAGGTCCACAGCCTGCATTGGGTATACACACAGATCCAAATCCTCTGCAGCCTCAGCTGCCTGACAAACAATGGGCGTTGCGCGAGCTTTGCGAATGGACTGAACAGAATGTGGTGGCCATCTACGAAAAACTCGACGTTATTTAGCTAAATATACAAGATAATTAATATATATATATATATTTATAATTTGTATTATTATCCGTTATCTATATATTTATGTCTAACCCCTATTGACTTCTATGTGAAATCTGCAGGCGGGTATTGTCTGCACTTCAGCCGTCACAGTGCTATTGATACCCAGATTACTAAGCGCGCCGCGCACCAGACCACAAGTGAAGGCGACAAATTTGGGCGCCTGCTCCAGCTGCTTGGAGCCAGGCGAGATGCGTGTGAGAAAACGGAATGCTTTATCCTGCACCACGTACATGCCGTAGTTGTTGGTGCGCAAGTTATCCACTTGCTTCTTGTAAATCAATGTCCAGAAGTCAGTGCATATAAATTTCATGGTCTCCAGCTCATCCTTGAAGCGGCCGACGTCTCTCGTGAGGCGCTCGATCAGCCGATAGCCGGTGGTAAAGCCTATGTACTCCAGGGTGCCCAGATCATTTTGATCCTGCAAAATAGTAATGTTTATACATGGTTTATCTACGATTTAATGCTCCACCTTGCTATTATTTAGGCAATAGTTGACTATCTCAGCATGCAGGCAATCAAATACAATTTCCTCCGACATTATTAAAACAATACTGTTTACGTTCTGTAAATTAGAGTTACACTAAACAGCTGACTATGACGTTATCATGGGAATGGCAAAAGTTGCACTTGCAACTGTGAATGGGTAAAAATTGAGTTTATTTAAAGCAAATATGTTTTAAAATACTAATGTCTATGTAAGTACAACATTTTTGTTACTTATTGAATTAGTTTATTGTATTTTATTGATATTAGTTAGATATACATGCGAAAATTTAATTCTTCAACAGCTAACTTGATTTGCACTGCTAATCATACAGCTGACTCCGACGATGACATGTGAATGGCCAAAGTCGCGCTTACGGCTGCCAGTGGGTAGACATCCCCCGCTCAGCTAGCGATGTATACAAACTGCGTGGTCAAAAGGGATAAATTAAATTAGTTAAGGACAAGAAAAGTGTGCAGTGCATTTAGCGATCAACATGGCTAGCCTGGATCTGCGGCAAAGCTCAACGCTACACAGCCTGGTGTGCCAGTCGATATTGGTGCTGCTGTGTTTGGTCTGTTATGGCTATGGCGGCCTGAGCGGTGCCAAATTTGTGTTCGATGACACCGTTGCCATAGTGAAGAACAAGAATGTCAACTCGTTGCCCACCAATTGGACGGCGATCTTCAGCCACGACTTTTGGGGTGCACCGCTCCTAAGCGCGGACTCACACAAATCTTTCCGGCCGCTGACAACGCTTATGTTTCACTACGAATACGCGTTACTTGGCCTGAATGCCGCCCACATGAAGTTTCTCAATCTGTTGCTGCACTGCGTCAATACGCTGCTCATGTGGCGGCTTGTACGCTCGCTGTACGTGGAGGACATTGACATTGAACGATGGGCGACGCTCTCTGCGGCACTGTTTGCTGCCCATCCGGTGCACACAGAAGCCGTATCCGGCGTAGTGGGCCGAGCGGAGCTTATGTTTGGACTCATACATCTGCTCTGTCTGCTCCTAACAGTTGCCAGCGCAGATAAGCCAGGTGTGAGCAGCGTTATTCTCATTCTGTTGCTTACGGCAGTTGGCATGCTGTTTAAAGAGTCTGCCATTACCATACCGTTATCCTGCATTATGCTGGACTACTTCCAGAATGGCACCTACATGCTGCCGCTGAAGCTGCAGCAGCGAGTGATCACCTCACGTCTGCGCTACCTGTGCTATATATGCGGCATGCTCTCTCTGCTGCTCCTGCGCCTCTGGTGGCAGAACTTCGAGGCACCGGAATTCAAGCCAGTGGATAATCCAATTGCACACAACGAGCAGCTGCTCACGCGAGGTTTGTCGCAGCAGTACCTGTACGTGATGAACTTCTGGCTGATGCTATGCCCGCAGTGGCTGTGCTTCGACTGGGCGCTGGGCTGCATTAATCTGGTGACCAGCATTTGGGATATGCGTCTGCAGGCCGTCATTGCCTTCTATTCATTCATCATTGTCTCCTTCATGAACTTTAGACGACTCGCAGGCCTCATGCTCGGCTTGGCATTGATGGTCATTCCATTTCTGCCCGCATCTGGAATCATCCGTGTGGGATTTGTCATTGCGGAGCGCACACTGTATGTGCCATCGATTGGCTTCTGCCTGGTGTCCGTCTACGGCTTCCTCTACTGCTATAAAAACTATGCGGCCAACAGATATTGCCGTGTGGCCCTGCAGACGTTTCTCATGCTGCTCTTTGCCGTGTTTATGCTGCGCACACGGCAACGGGCGGCTGAGTGGTTAAACGAGGAGCAGCTGTTCAGCTCGGCGCTGCAGGTGTGCCCCAACAATGCCAAAGTGCACTATAACATAGCGCGGCTGGCCACGGACAATGGCAACAGCAGCCGTGCCTTCCATCACTATCTGAAGGCTGTCCAGCTCTATCCGGAGTACGAGTCGGCGCTGATGAATCTGGGCAATCTCTATCGCGAGTATGGGCAATTGGAGACAGCTGAGAAGTACATACGTGCTGCCTTGGCTGCCTATCCCGCCTTTCCTGTGGCCTGGATGAATCTGGGCATCGTGCAGTCGGCGCAAAAGAAGTACGACCAGGCGCTGGATAGCTATAGACAGGCCCTCAAGTATCGCTCTGACTATGCCGTCTGCTACTACAATATGGGCAATCTGTTTTTGGAGCAGCATCAATACGGAGAGGCACTACATCATTGGCAGCACGCCGTTGCCATCAATCCGCGACAGCCCAAAGCTTGGGCCAATATTCTAACCATGTTGGATAACCGCGGCATGTACGAGGATGCGTTACGAATCTCCGCCCAGGCGCTGACCCAACTGCCCACTGAGCCGAGCATTCTGTTTATACGTGCGAATGTTCTCGGCAAACTGAAGCACTATCTGGAGGCGGAGGCACTGTACAAACAGGTCATTGAGTTGGAGCCACGGAACATGCTGTATCATACGAATCTCGGTGTGCTCTATCATCGCTGGGACAAGCTGGAGGAAGCCATCGAGTGCTATCAGACTGCCATTAGTATTAATTCCTCGCGGGCGACTACAGCGCGAGATAATCTCGGCAAACTCCTGAAGCGCTTGAATCGCGAGACGCCTAAGGAATCACAGCAATAAGGGCTCTTCCAAAATGAAACCCTACTCTAAGTTAAAGACATCTGGTCATAGCCGTAAGTTTCATCCATCTTCATCCAAAAGCAATCCAATATCTTAATATAAGGGAAGGGAACTATTTTGAAACGTTTTTAAAGCAATTTTATGACTTTTTATATACATTTATATTTTTATAAATTTTTGTTCGACGATCTTTCTAAGACATATACATATATCTTATATAAGGAATCTCTTTTTTAAATACTGATATTATTTTTACAGTCAGTAAAAGATTTACAAAGCAACCACAAAGAAGAACAAAAACCTCAAATGGATCTATATATCTATGTCCAAAATATGTTTCCATAATCTCAGTTTCTCTTTATCAACGAATGTGTCACACAGCAGTTCGTCAAGCGCGTAAACCCCCTAAATAGATCGGTAATATTTTTTTATTGAACTAGTCATTCTTGTATTTCTAATGAGCTGTTTACGCTGCCTGCCTTATCAACACTATCTATGTGTCTGACATGTCATCCATATCATATCTTCGAACTAACACCTAGAGAACTCAATCAACTTGAATGTTCCACTCTCACTCTATGAAACTAGATTAAGTTGATAGATATAATATTTAAATTAAACATTAAGCTCTATATATGTATTTACTATTAGATTTATTTATTTATTCGCAAGGGTATTTACAATTAATGTTTATAACTAAATAATGAAGGAACCACTAGTAGACAAAACATAATTTAATTACAATCTAAGACATGGGACTACAAATAAAATACTTTCGAGAGCAGCGAAACACTTGTTACACTGTTGATTAATTACGCTTCAATTCCATACAGTAATCGCATTACAAAATAATAATACCGAGAATTACATAAACTATTTATACATATATAGGAAATAATAATATATATAGTAATAATCAGAGTGAAGCACAAAACTTGTTGAGGATATAAAAAATATGAAATCAATTTGAACAAAGGTTGCAAATTGAAAATAATCACAAAGAATAAAATATAATAGGCAAATGTGCAATTTATAAATATTTATATATGCATGTATATATATATATGTGTGTATGGGAGTGTCTGTATATTAACAAAGTCTTTGATGTTGAGATGCACTTCGGTTTTACTTAGTTTTGGGCAAGCTAGCGAGCGAGCAACGGCCAGACGCCCTACCTAACAATAAACGCAAAATTATAATAGCTAATCATAATCAGAATAATAATAAAGCAATGCAAAGAATATAACACAGTTCACACAGTTACTGAGGCTGCGCATCAGGGTAACAGGGGAAGATCTAGAGAGGGCATTCAAGACTTATTGCTATTTGTATATAGATAATATATGTGTATCAAATGGCTGCCTTAAAGCAGCACAAACTCCTCGCTTTCACTATCATCCGGATCATGTTCGTAGCCATGCAACTGCTGTGGAGCAATGCCCTCCAGTTCTTGGGCTAAGGCGGCCACTTGCGATATGAGTGGCTTATAGAGCGAGTCGCTCATCTCATCGCGTGCATGATCCAGGCAGCGACCACGCGAGAACGTGAACAGCGGATAGTTCATCTCGGGCGGTTCCGCTTGAGGCGGATGCTGGGCTTGAGATTGGGATTGGGCTGCTTGTGCCATTGATTTGTCCTGGGTAACGCCAGAAGTGCAACGTATGGGATGCAAATACTGAATAAATGAAAGGATTATATATTGCCCTAGTTAGTGTCAGCTCCACTCACCAATTGCACGCTCTCCACAAAGCTATCGAAATCCGTTTTGGTAGGGCAATAGAAACCAATGCAGCAGCTTGGGTCCATCTTGCTGGACTTCAGTTTTCGTGGCGATTTACAGTGAAACGAGTGCATGGGGAAAGTCTCTTGATTAACATCCACCATCTCCTGGCAGTAGTGCGGATCCAGATGAATCAATTTGTCCTCCTGGAAGCCCACAAAGTACAGCGAATGCTTGGGCTTGCCGCCAATGATGCCCAAGCAGTATTCCGTGCTGAGCAAGAGCTTCAGGCAGTGCGCATAAACGGGATTCAGTTTGTCACTGCCCAGACGTAGTGGTATCAGGACAATCAAAGATTTCCAATGTTGGTCAGGCTTGGGCGCATCGCTGGTCGAGCGTTTCGCTTGCTGCCAAGGCACATGAGGCTTGGGAGCCGGCTCCGGTATGCTGCACAGCTCCTCAATGTCTTGAATGTAAACTGTAAACGCGGCAATTAATAATGGGTACGGAGTGTGTAGAGTACAGCTTACTGGTGCAATCCTTGGCCACGTAGACACTTATATTGTCAAAGTCGGCATTTTCTCGAGCGGCATGCTCTAAGGCGTGTCTGCATGGAATATAGCATTAATAAAACCTCCTGCAATATAGAGCCGACACTCACTTTAATAAATAGGAGACTGAGGCGGGACCATACCAATCGCCTGGCTTCTTGCCCAGCTGCTCGCCGAGGCGCACCAGCGCATGGATGGAAAATGGGCTGTTTTTTGAGGAGCTGTCGCCAAACCACTTGATTATCTTCTTATGCATATTATCCTCGTATGTGGAATGCAGCTGCGATTCCGCATCGTAGCGCCAGCCTGTCGGAAAACAAAGTACATAATTAGCAGGGTTTACTGTGGCAATAGACTCGCACTTACTGCGACCCAAAAAGTGACAAATGAGACCCTGAGCCAACAACATTTGGCCACTCCGCAGCATACAGCCCCAGCCGCAGTCTGAGGTGTAGTTGGAGCCATTCATAGTGGGGAATTCACGGCGATAGGTCATCCAGATTCGACTGTAGAAATCACGACGAAAACCCTCAATGCCCTCCTCCCACGGACTTTCGGCCAGTTGATTTTCGGCCGCATCCATGCCCAGCTCTTGGGGCACAACAATCTCATCGATTTGTTGCGGATTTATGGAGGACGACGAAGTAGCGGTTGTTGCTTGAATGCTATCAAACGCTGATGTGGCATTATCCGGCGTGGTATCAGCACCGCTAGTAATCTCTGTGGTGGAGTTCTCCATGCTGACGGGAGGAGTGTAGCGTCGATGATAGCAACGCCCAAGCAGCCAGACGGGCTGCTCCTTCGAGAAGCTTGTTTGTCGCATTTTTCCCGTCCAGCCATATTTGACATTATGCCACATGGCAACTAGCTTGGATTCCATGCCCTTGGTCGGTGTGCGATTTGCCGCCAGATCGGGATCATCGCTATGCAGCTCCACGTGACCAGCGCTGTGGTTGTTGCTATGGCTGTTATTGTTGCTGTTGCTGTTGCTGTTGGTATTGCTGCTGCTATTGCCGCCATAAAGCTGAGTAAACGCATTCATGAAACGTGATGACGTCGATATTTTGCGCTGTGGAGTCGCTGTCGCAGCATTTTCCAATTTTGGGTTGAGGTTTGCACTTGTTGCAGGTGTCGTTCCCATTGCCGTTGCTGACACAGCAGTCGTTCCCGGAGCAACTAATGCCCTGTGGTGTATTGTTTGTATGGGCGCTGCTTGCTCCTCCTCGATGGCGCCATCCTCAACGTCGCCTTCGACAAGGGAGGCGGCCGTGCCAGCGGCACCACCACCCACCTCGGCGCTGTTTTCGTAGATTATCAGCTTGTCGTCGGTCAACTGTGAGAGCAGTGCATCATAGTTCATCTGTTTGGATTTGGAAACGGATGAGCGACGGCGCTTTGTACGTATTTTCGACAATTTAAAGAACGATGGCATCGCACAGACAATTCAATGTGAGCCACTCGCTGGCTCTTGCCCCACTGAATCATAGGCATTCTGCTACCTTGTGGTGCTGATTACCGATATTTACTCACCGTTTATTTGTTTAAATATGAGAATGATACAGTTAAGCTTTAGTTTTCTGCGTGCTTGTACTCGTATTAATAGGTTTACACGCACGCCAAACGCGATAAGCTTTTGTTTACGCTTATATTATGCACACCAAATCACAATTAATGGAAATGCAAGCTGATTACGTTCTATCAGTTCTTGATTTTATTGATTGTGTTTGTAAAAGCAGATAATGTATTCTTTAATATCATTTAAATATGAATTTAACTATATACGTGAATGTAAAACATATTGATACTTTCTTTTATTATTATTATATTTGCATAAATAGTATTTAATATACGTAATATATTTGCAAAAATCAGTGTTAAATTTAATTATATATTTTCTCTTATTTGCATCACAATCGATCTTCAATATGCATAGCACAAATATTACGTTAACAATTTCAACAATCTAAATCATGGCATAAACGTTTTCATATGCGCTTGCATTGTTCCGTTTAGCCACAGAGTTGCCACCCTGCATTCGGGTGCTGCAACTCTACTTTTTATGACCATTCTATTTAATGCTGCAACTAGTATAAATACAGCGCAATTGAAATTATTCTGCGGTTGAATAATCACGGATCGCAATCCACTTAAAATTTGATTGAAATACGCAAAAGTTCACAGTAATCGTATTCTAAACGTTTATCGCTGCGTACGGCAACACCGTAAGATTCTGTTTGTTATTGCGCAACTCGTTGTGCGGAGGGGCAAAAGAAAAGTAAAATAAAAAGAAACTAATTTCAAAATGGTAAATAATGCAAATGAACACATAATAAAAATTTCTAATTAGATTCTAACCAAAACGCGCCACAGCAAAATCCAATTCAAAGGTTAGCCTACACTCTTGGTCATCGTACCTACACCCGATTGCCATTGCTGTGCGCCGCCGGTGCGAGATTAACAGAAATAACAACAATTAACATGCCGATGGCAAACTGCACGCGCCTCTCCTCGTCCTCCGTGCTGGCCACGGAGTCATCTAACAAGGGCATGATCATCATAAACAGGCCTAAAGCCCTAAATGCCATCAATTTGGAGATGGTGCGCAAGATCTACAAACATCTGAAAAAATGTGAAAAATCCAAATCCTTGATGATCATCAAGGGCACCGGGGAAAAGGCGTTCTGTGCGGGTGGCGATGTGCGCGCCCTGGTCGATGCCGGACCCACGGACGAGTCGAAGAGCTTCTTCCGTGAGGAGTACACAACGAATGCGCTGATCGGCAACTACAAGATACCCTACATTGCCATCATCGATGGCATTACAATGGGCGGTGGAGTGGGTCTCAGTGTCCATGGTAAATATCGCGTGGCCACCGATCGCACGCTGTTCGCTATGCCTGAAACGGCTATTGGGCTGTTTCCCGATGTGGGCGGCTCATACTTCCTGCCACGCCTGCAAGGCAAGCTAGGTATCTACTTGGGTCTGACGGGTCATAGGTTACGCGGCGGCGATGTCTACTATGCTGGCATTGCTACCCACTACTGCGAGAGCAGCAAAATTCCAGAATTGGAAACTGCGTTGCTCAACTGCCCAGATGCCGATGATGTGCCTGAGATACTGGAAAAGTTCCATTCGAAGCCGGAGAAGCCGTTCTCATTGACGCCCGTGCTGGAGCAGATCAACAAGCACTTCTCGGCCGGCTCCGTGGAGGAGATACTGGAGAGCTTGCGGACTGATGACAGTGATTGGGCAAAGAAACAACTGGAGGTCAGTGTTTAGTACATAAATAGGTGATAAGAGTCGTGCGATCCAGCTGCTAATTGACGTACGCTACGCATAAATATTTAGACAGTGTTATATAACACACAAATATTATATATTAAGAGAAAAACAAATTCAATTAACGCCTCGTGGCGCATGCCACGTTTCGCGTATTAACTTAACGAGCGATGCTAAAAGCTAATTGAATCATTTATTTATTTATTTATAGATCCTCAGCAAAGTCTCTCCCACCTCGCTGAAGGTAACATTCCGTCAGTTGGAGCTGGGAGCCCAGCTTTCGCTGGCCCAGTGTTTGATCATGGAATATCGCCTGGCCGTGCGCCACCTTGAGCCACGCGCTGACTTCAAGGAGGGTGTGCGCGCCCTGCTCATCGACAAGGATCAGAAGCCCAAATGGCAACCATCCACGTTGTCCGAGGTCACCGAAGAGCATTTGGACTGGTTCTTCAAGAAGTTGCCCGACACGGAGGAACTCAAACTGTAATTAAGCTGTTGCTGCTTGCTTAGAATTTTACTAGCACGCAATTTCTGCTTGAGTTATCCCAATGTCTTCCTCTCTTTGCACTCTGCCCCGCATTCTACAATAGCTAATGCATAAACAAATTGAGTTTATTATACAGTTTAGCATGCATTTTACATTTGATTTGCATGAGCAATCTTTGATAGATGTGTAATCTCTTTTATCTTTATTCCAAACAGCGACTAAATCAAGGCCAACAGACAACAGTTCACGTGAAATTTGATGCATTTATATACGATATACATAAAATTTTTATATGTATATATATATATCTACATATATGATATATATATATAAATATTTTATAAAATTTTTTAACTATATACAAATAATGTGCCTAAAGAAACACTAGCAATCGGTTAACAGTAAATAAATTGAAGCATGTAAATATTTTCAAATATGATTTTGTTTGATTTGCATTCCTCCATTAAGCACTCTCCTTCGACTTGATGCTCTCCTCCACCATGTTGGAGAGCTCCACGAGTTTGTCAATTTGTTTGGGTTTAAAGTTTAGTTTGCCCAGTTCCAGAGTCCAGGCGGCCACATCGACGCGCAGCTGCAGTCGTATCTTATCGTCATCCGATACCGCAGTGGATGCACTTCCGCTGCCCTGTGAATTGGATGCACCGCCGCTTTTGAGATTACGTAGACGACGCAATGATTCCTCGGTTTTCTGGACTGATGTCAGCACCTCACTAACCACATTGAAGTAGCTACGGGTTAAGAGAAGTATTAATATAATAGATATACATTTGTGTTCGATTTGCTTTACTTACGCCTTGGTTATGTTGCTGCACACCTCGGCCAGTATCTGCTCCACCACCAGTGTGCCCAGCTGTTTCTCATGCTGAGCGGCAAATGCTTTGAGCGGACGCAGCATCTGCTCCACGTAGCTGGAACAACGAGTCGGTACCTCACGGTTCGTCTTGCGATACAAACGCGGCAGATCGTTGACTTGTCGCACATTGTCTGCCCCGCATTCGGTGATTAGCAGCTGCTTCAATGTGTCCTGTATGTTGGTGAGGTGCATGCCCAGTGTGTCAACCAAGTCGGCTATGGACTTGCCCAAGACATTGTTGAACAATGCTAGATTCTTGGTCTCCGGCGCCGACTGCATGATGAGCTGCTGCAACTGCGGCAAATATGATTCTAATTGGCGTGTGTCCGTGTATAGAGCAATTAACAATTGATTCCGTGTGTATGGCTTTGAGTAGCTACTGCTCTTGGCCTCCTTGATGACATCTCGGATCCAGCGCGAGAGGCGCAAAACTATCTGAACATTGAGCTTGTAGAATTTGGCAAATACCTCCGACAAATAAACGCCCTCGGACCAGCAGCGAGTCAATGCTTCTTTGGCACCATTGAAGGGCATTAGGTGATAGGCATCTCCCTCTGGATGGGCTTGGAGCGAATCATCTTTGAGCAGGGGCTCTAACTGTGCCTCGAATTTTCCGGCGATTTCCTGCAATTTAAAGACCAAAATATGAATATAGTTCTCGGTTAAGATTCACAACTCACCTGAAAGCAGATCTGAAAGTAGACGGGCAGATTCCAGCGTGCCTCGAAGCTTTTGGTTTGATTGTGATGGCGGAAGGAGGAGACTACCTTTTCGCCGCGGCTCGTCAGCAACTCCTCAATCTTGGCCAGAAAATCGCGTGTGCATTTGTATTTCACATAGAACACCTCCGAGTTGCCTGGTGCAAATATTGAATTCATGTGCAGCTCCAGGCGCATCTCAACATCCGCCCAGAAGCTGTTGACCACAAAATTGAAGCCGTTTAACTTATCCGAGTAGAGCGTTAGACGCAACAGATCCGCCATATGCAGCGATATAAAATTCAATACTTTGCTATAAATGCCAGCCAATCCCTGTGGCGAATTCTGCAGCTGCTGCTCGCCAATGATGGCGCTCATATAGGGAGCAACAATATCTTCGCGAAAAGCGCGCTCTGCTCGGTCACACGCATCGAGTGTGATGTAGATGCGCAGACAGCGCTCCAAGTGCTCGGAGGCACCGTTCTTCGCCTGCTGCAGTGAGGTGTACAGGAAACGACGTAATTCCTGATGTACTTGCTCCTCCAGTTGTTGAATTGTGGATCTGTGTAAATTGCTCAGCTGAGTGTCGCAGTGTTTCTCATGGAATCTCAACTGTATCAGGTCAAGTGCAGCACGCTCCAAGTCAACAGCCTGGGCGGGCTCGTCTTCGCTTAGCTTGTTCGCTATCAACTCCTGCAACTTCTCCATAATCTCGTATACTTTCTTAAGGCTTTGCAAACTGCGTTGAAATTCACGCAATTTACGCTTCTCCTCGAGCTGACTGCGCAGCTCAACCACATTTTCCTCAATTAAACTGTGTATGCCCTCGATTTCAGTACGAAATTGCTCCAAAGGGCGTTGTATAGTGTCGATGGTTTGGTCCAGACCCACCAAATTGGCACTCAAATTAACGAAATCCGCATAGTCCTCATTGATAAGATCGATCATAGCGGCGCGTAGACCCTTCAGATAGAGGCCCAAGTTGTCGCGCAACTGCTCCAGGCTAGGGGCGTTGCGATTCTTGTGTAGAAACTCATCCACGGAGAAATTTTCCTTTAAAACCAAAGGCGCTGAAGGACAATTTGAAAAATATTCAGAATACGAACCTTCATGAACTCATTTTTATCAAAGCAAAGCTTTTCAGCAGTGCTTGTGCCACCGGCCACTGATGGTCTTCTTGCTGGCTCATTCATAGTCGATTAAAGCCTTTGTAATAGAATCAAAGCAATTTTAAACAATTGCCACGAACGAAAAGCAGCAGCTGACAGCTACATCTGGCTTGACAGTCGATAAACGCAATACGATTAATGTTAAGGGCTGACACTTTTACAAATGTACCAAAATCAGGTAGCTCGACTTGAGAAAGGAAGTGTTTATAAATTAATGCAGATTTTGGTACTTCTAAGGCTAACTAAAGTTAACACACCTGTTTGCATATTTGCAACACAGTGCGCGACAATAAACCCCTAATAAATTGTTGGTACATTTCAGATGGTACATAATAAGCATGCAAATTGGCAGCTCAGTTTAAAAACAAACAGGTGGCAACGCTAGACTGCATATCGACGTATCATTTTTCTGCCGGCTTTATTTACAAATAAACAAATTGCAAGCATGCCGAAAAATCCAGGCTATCGTAACAACAATAATGGACCGCGCAAGCGTCAAGCACAGCTGGATGAGCAGAATCCCGTTGTGCAAGCATTTCGCAGCTATGCGACCGAATTGGACGCCAAACACGATCGCCATGAGCGAATTCTAAAACTTAGCCGCGACATTACAATTGAATCGAAGCGCATAATATTTTTCTTGCATTCCATTGATTCGCGCAAGCAAAACAAGACCAAAGTGCTCGAAGAAGCGCAGCAACGTTTGAACAAGCTCATCGAGGTGAACTTCCGAGCCATTGCCTTGGAGCTGCGCAATCAGGATGTCTATCAATTTCGTGCCGCATACTCGCCTGGCTTGCAGGAGTTCATTGAGGCGTATACCTATATGGAGTACTTGTGCAACGAGGACAACGGCGAGAACTCAAAGTCGATATCAGACTGGTCGGCCTTGCAGTTGATTATGCAGTATAAAGTTGAGGCTGAGAAGGAGAAACCCGTGCAAGAGGTGGGAGATTCGTCAATGGCCGGTGAAGAGGAAACAGCCAAAGCTGTGGAAAAATTTCAGTTTTTCGTCGATCCCACTGAGTACATTTTGGGCGTTTCGGATTTAACTGGCGAGCTGATGCGTCGTTGCATCAACTCACTGGGCAGCGGGGATACGGACACATGCATGGAGACCTGCAAGGCATTGCAGCAGTTTTACACAGGGTGCGTTAGGCACAGGGTGCACCTTCATAATGGAAACTAATGTCTGATTTTTTGTCACTTGCAGGTATATTAGTTTGAACTGTCAGCGTGCCCGCGAATTATGGCGCAAAATAACGACAATGCGGCAGAGTATGCTGAAGGCCGAAAACGTCTGCTATAATGTGAAGGTGCGTGGCGGCGAGGCAGCCAAATGCGCCAGTTTTGATCAAAAGCCAGCTGAAGAAGCCGATGAGGGGTTCTTTTAAATAGATAAATAGATTCATCAAACATTCGCAGCTTATAAGCAAAATATATGTAATCATTATTTTCAAAATATAGAGCAAATGTATTATTTGCACTGCAAACATTTAAATGTGATGTACGTTAGTGATCGGACTATCGAGATATTGAACCAATGTGCTTATCTCCAAATCTTATCGATAGCAACTGATAGCGGTTATTTAATTAATTAGGTAATTTATTTATTGTCCACAAACTGGAATACTTTAGTTGGAATAAGAATAAACGCAATCTTTTAATTTACTTAATGTACGCAATGTGCAAAGAAATAAAACATTCTAAAAATAATATCTGGATATTTATCGTAATTGACAACATGTGATTTTCGATACTTTAATAGCATCCCTAGTCAGCTGTTCAGTTGGTTTCCAATCAAAAATTTCGCAAAGTAAAATTTTTAATTTTAACATTCTACATTTAGGTCCACTTGTTTATCTATAATAAACAGAATATTTTAACGAACGAGCAGGATGTCGATACTGGCTAAAACCTTGGGACGCACTTTCTTTCAGGTAATCGTCAAAGAGAGGTTGCCAAGTGCTTACATAAACACTTGCCAAGTTCTTTGCAGCAGCCGTTGCTTAGGCACTTGGAGCCAAGTCAAGTGCTGATGCCAATATTTTATTGAGGTTAACATCCTCACATCCTTCTTAGCATAATGACTAATTATTATATTATACTTCCATTACTTATAGGCAGCCGCAGTACGCGCACTACATGTGTCAGCGGCGGTTAGCGGTGCGGTGTGTATTCAAATATAAAATTAATATTACTTTAGAGAATCGTATGTAATAATTATGATTTTAATAGGAGACTTATAGTGCAAATAGAACCACTTGCACTCTAGTGCCCGGCGATGGCGTCGGACCCGAATTGGTCTACTCACTGCAAGAGGTTTTCAAGGTAAGAAAGAAATGCCTCATTAGCCGGAAGCAAAAATAACGTTTTATTACGCACAGGCAGCAAATGTGCCAGTTGACTTTGAGGCGTTCTTTTTATCGGAAATCAATCCTGTGCTAAGTGCCAAACTTGAGGATGTTGTCGCCTCCATTCGCAAAAACAAAGTTTGCATTAAGGTCAGTTACGAACTGCTTTATTGAGATAGATACTAATCTTGTATGTATCATATATATAGGGTATTTTGGCTACACCCGATTACAGCAATGAGGGTGAACTGCAGACGCTTAACATGAAACTGCGCACAGAGCTTGATTTATATGCGAATGTGGTGCACGTTCGCAGCTTGCCTGGTGTTAAGACACGCCATGACAACATCGATACGGTCATCATCCGTGAACAGACGGAAGGTGAGTACTCTGCCCTGGAGCACGAGTCGGTGCCCGGCATCGTGGAGTGCCTGAAAATTGTGACTGCCAAGAAGTCGATGCGTATTGCCAAGTTTGCCTTCGATTATGCCACCAAGAACAACCGCAAGAAGGTAACAGCCGTGCACAAGGCCAACATCATGAAACTGGGCGATGGCCTCTTCTTGAAGTCATGCGAGAAAGTCTCGAAGCTGTATCCACGTATCGAGCTCGATAAAATGATTGTGGACAATACGACCATGCAAATGGTGTCCAATCCCAATCAGTTCGATGTGATGGTCACTCCGAATCTGTATGGTGCCATTGTCGACAACTTGGCCTCTGGCTTGGTCGGCGGCGCTGGTGTCGTTGCTGGTGCTTCATACTCGGCTGATGCAGTGGTCTTTGAGCCGGTAAGCAGACACTTGACATACAAAGTGGTTGGACAGCACTTCAATTATCTTTTCTTATTGACTTTATAGGGTGCACGCCATATCTTCGCTCAGGCTGTGGGCAAGAATGTTGCGAATCCAACGGCAATGCTAATGTGCGGCACAAAAATGTTGCGTCACATCAATTTGCCAACTTATAGCGAAGTCATACAGAATGCCATCAACCAGGTGCTCAAGGACGGCAAGATACGCACCAAGGATTTGGGTGGACAATCTACCACTCAGGACTTTACGCGCGCCATTATTGCCAATCTGCACTAAATCGTTCTCGAGCCGAATTCAGCTGGTCAATTGGCCACAACAGTTGGCTGTGGCTGCCCCAACCAAGGATTGTACGCATGCATAGACACCAAACTCTTCAGTTATTGCCTAAATTATTAGAATGTTAAACATGATTTCTGATATTTAGTTGATTTTTCAGTATGATTTTCTCCTCTGCCTCCCTCCATAATTCAATTGATGCTTTGAGTATTATTTCTGGCGAATATTTATGTTTAGAACAATTACCTCGCCCAACCGCCCAACCGCCCAGCCCCTTCTCCCGTATTCATTTACCCCAAAACTTTTTAGTTTTACAAATTGGCCGTATTGTTTATTATTTTGTGATTACGTATTATACAACAAACAATCCAAGTCGGATTCGAATGTTTGCAAGCAGCATTAAGTTTATGACAAGCAAATGCAAAATTCAAAAATAAAAAATATTAAATTAAAAACACAATCAAAGTAAAGCGAGAGCAAAGATGCAGAAAATAGAACCAAAATTACTTAAAAATTTGTGTTAATTATATTATACTCAATGGAAAAACATTAATTACGAAAAATATTTCACATTGTTTTATTATACAAACTTTAGAAAACCGAATGAATAACACCAAAACATTTCGAAATATCTCAACATTGTTTTTCGGGCTTACGAGCCCTTGGGCTTGGCCAGTTCTATGAGTCGCGGCGAGGCCTTCGCCTTGAGCGCCGCAGGTGAGATGGCAAAAGGATTCTCTCGGATATGCGTATTCTCGAACTCCTTTGGCTCGGCCAACTCCTTCATGCGCGTTGTTATCTTGTATTTTAATGCGTTTGGCGAAATGGAAAACGGATCGTCCTTAAGATCGGCCGGACCCAAATTGGCTTCGTGCTTAGCCAGAGGCTGAGACATCTCCTTAATGCGGTCACTCGCTGTGGTTGGCATCATACAAATGTAAATATCGTTATATGCCTAGATATTTAAGATTAGAGCTTACGTTTGTATTTGAGCGCATTGGGTGAGACTTTTCCAGGATTTTCATTGGTGTGCACATTGGGCCGATCCACTGGCTCAGCCAAAGTCTTAACACGATCCGAGGCTTTGTAGTTACGCATGCCCGGTGTAAACTCCCATTCAGGCTTGATATCCTCCATAATAACCCTGGGACGGGATAGTTTCTTAAGACGCCGCTGATCGATTTGTCCCTTTTTCCGATCCTGCAAGGCAAATGTGAGAGTGTTATCAAATGAGTTGATATTTGATAAGAATATCTATATAATAACTGATATATCTGACTTACCAGTGGCGGTGGGGCTTTCGGTTTACGCGGTTTAGCGAGTCGTGCGATATTCATCTCCCTCATCTTCATTTGCTTCTCTGTTAGCTTCTTCTTTTTTTTGCTGTTTCGAATGCGAATTGAAATTAGTATTCGAGCTAGAATATGGGTGGGTGTATTAGTTGGTCAGATGCTCACGGTTTCTCCAACGGCTGCACATTGCACAAGCGACTGTACAAAGACATATAACTGTAACGTAACAAGCGATTAATGATGCCCTCGCCAATCATATCACCGTTCGCGATGGCATCGGCTCGACGGCTAAGCAAGCGCCTAACCGTCGGCAGTGCCAATTGATCGGTGCGTGTATGGATGGGGTGATCCGCTGGTACGATTTCGATTGTCTTTTTGAATGGGCACGCACATTTGG